ATTGCCCTATTTCTTTTTTTAAGCAAATTCTTTCTTTCTGTTAGGATCATTTAATGCTCGAAAGGGCTAAAAATTCGTATAACCAATTCTCGGTCCATCCCCCTGAGTAGATACGAGCCATGTTCGAGGCATCATCATCATCACATTCAAATCTACCTTGAAAAAGGAGGCCCGGACGCTTCGCAATAGCGAGCTGCGCAATACGCAGACTGTAAGCGACGAAGCTATGTGGCGGCGCGCGGTCGAAATGCCTTCGGAGGCAACGGCCTTTTCCCAGGCGACGACGTAGCACACGTCTCGGGCCTTTCGACCTTTTCGAAAACTCGTGCGTCAGTAATCCGAACGCGCAGGGCGGATCCTCGCGCACCGCTATTAGCCAAACATGGGGAGTGGTAAGCGTGAATAACCGAATGCTTTTTTTTTTTCTTTCAGTGAGCTAGCCGAAAAAGAGCCCAGTTCACGCGAAACGATCTGGCGCAGGGAATAAAAATAAAGAAAAGCTGCTCAAGCAGCGAAGGGAGGGCATGACCTGCTAGCTCAAGTAGGAGGACATTAAAATTCAATCAATGAATGGAAGATCTCGCTAAAATTGAATTTAACATTCCCCGAAGCAAGCTAAAGACTACAGGTCACGCCATCGAAGACGACCCCGAGTTAACCTTGGGAGTTGGCCTTCGAGTAACCGAGTTAGCTCTCGGTGGTTGTTTGGTTTTTAGAGTTTGACGTCGCAACAAAAAAAAAATCACGCCATGGAAGACGCCGTAGTGGCGAGCTCCGATGATTTCTATCACTCGGGCTCCTTCTACAGCGTGCACTAACATCGCCGGTACCCGGGGCTTTGCGGCATCTTCGTCTCTCTCGAAAAGGCGATCGCGGTGGCCTAAGCCAAGCTCGCGTCATTAGGGACAAGCACTGAAATCACTGGGTCGCCCACGTTTTGCCCCGCGCCTTCTTTAGCAATGAAAGGAATCGGACCTCCGACAAACCATGTTCAATTCGCACCGGCCAATTATTACACGGATGGGTTAGACACTGCATTAATTATAATGCGCCCGCACACAAAGCGTCCAAGAAGCACTTCGTGTACCCGAATTCAGCTTGGCTCTTAAAAGAAACTGTACGAATGGAGCATATACACCGAATCTGTGTACGAAGAGCACCAGGATTCCTTGAGGATACTTTCCACTGTCATAACTCTTCTGAGGCAAGCGAGCCGGTCCGTACAGCCAGAAATTTTTTTTAGGGGGCGATGGGGGGCACCTCTTCGATTTGATATCAAAGAGAGAAAGGGGTACCCCCTTGAAAGTTCATCCTTTGCTCTCTATGCCATGCGAAAAACTTTGCGGGGGGTGGGGGGGGGGGGGCTGGTGGTGAGGCACGGGTACGGTGTGCCGCCTCCTGGATACGCCCCTAAGATTTTGAAATGATGACTTTCCGGCCATGCGATCCTGTGGAGCAGCGAACGAAACATTCTACTGAATCCTAAAATTACGCGAATTTCTCAAGCTGTACCGTCAAGCTCCCGATTTCCATGCCACCACAAAATAGTTTGTGGCCCGCTAATAAAGACCGTGGCACGAATTTCAACGTCACTACCGACGCCGCTTTCCTATGCCTGCTCTTCAATGCGAAAATGATCAAACCGGCACGCACTTCTTTTAGCGCCACGGCAAAGTGCGGTTTTCATGCCAGCAATAGTACGGCAATGCCGAACTGACTGTTTCGAAACAAAACCTATATAACATGAAAGACTGATACTATTATCATTATCATCTCTTACTATATTCACTCGAAAGAAAAAGATACGGCCGACCATAACAGATATGACATATGGAAAAGGCAGGCTAACTGTCAGCTAAAGGGCACGACGCCTGCCCGCTTTATCAGAGGAAAGAAGTGGAAATTGAAGCCGAGAATGAACAGATGGGAAGTAAAAAGCAGGAAAATAAATCATGACCGACTGAGTGGAGACACTATTGCATCATGGGGTGACCCCGTCGGCAGAGCTGGCGAAACAGAGTTCCGACTGGGCGACTGCCGGTTGAAACCGCCATTGTGAAGGCGGTTCAGACTTCCTTTTTTCTGGGTCGCCGCCATGCAAGGAGGAGCAGAGGGACCGACACCGCCGGACACAGTTGTCCACGCGTCAAAGGAGGCCACTTTATAAGAGAACGACCTCCCCTCTTATATTCTTTTACAAAAAAACAAAAGAAAAGACCGAGACGAGGTGTCGATGCACGGACGGCAACTCCGAGAGCGACCTACACTCACTGAGCCGCCAAAGCACGACCCCATATGCCGTGCCGTCGTTGGACATTCAGGGCCGTCTCACTGCAGGGCCGCCTAAAGAGATGCGAGCGCTTCCCATTCCGCACAGTCGGTCCTATCGCGTACGCGCACAGCACCACGGCGCTCTCTGAAAATGTCAAGCAAAGCATGCGCGCAAAGATTCGTCTCAGGCGGCCGTAGAATTTAGGCTTTTTAAATTTTCATTTCAGTCGGGGCATTCAACGGCGCTGAAGTTGTCCGGTTCGCTTCTTTGAACAACAAAAGGCTGAACTGATCCTCGCTCGTCAAATTTAATCCTAGTTAGGTGCCATCCAATCAATGACGGCGCCATGGGAGACGATTACCTTACTAACGCCAACGGAATTAATTCGTCAGAAGTCCTCCGAGCCAACCAAAAGGCACGTGCACAAACGAAGAGGAAAGGGGGGGGGGGGGGGGGGGCAACACAGTTAAGTCTCGAATAGCAAACATTGATGCTAAGAGAGGCCCGAAGGCAACGAATATAAAGTGAGATCCAATATCAACTTAACTTATTCTAGTGGTATCCCAGTACAGTTGCTAGCATTATGTCAAAAGCAACATTTTAACAATTTTTCACAAACTGACAAGAAGCTATACAGCTAGGTGACAAAAGTAGCCAGGTGTAGGACTTCAAATGTAGCTCTTGTATCAAAGGGCGGGTAAAAATAATCTTGAATTCCAGCAACACTGACACATCGAACTACAGTTCCTGACAAAACGCCTAATCTACAGCATACATGAAAAAAAAAAATGCCATGTCATAACAAAAAACTACCGCTTCATCACAGTGCTCCTTATGTTCTATAGTCTTCAAGGGAATCTGGTTCGAAACTTTCCTAAAGCTAAGCTGCAATGTAAACGAAGTTTAAATGTGCTTGAAGTGTGTGCCCCAGGGAAAGATGCATGAAGCCAGAAATGTACAAACACAGGAAATGATCAGGACTATAGGAACTGTTTCCTAAAGGAAGACAAAAGGAAACAGCCTCGAAAAATACCGACTTGTCGATACATCGGCTCTAGCACCCACTCCCCATTTATGAATTTCTCTTCACCGTTTCCCGCGTTTACTACGCAGTTTCCTGCGCAGTCTGTTTTGAGCTGGATATATCATTCTATAGTGCAACGTGCACACTAGCCCCACAGCGTATTTGCAAGAAATCTTTACCTATGGTTATTGTAGTAAGCAGAAAGCTCCACTGAACTACCTAGGTGACCACATTCATGCACAATCACTGACTGAATGGCCATTATTTCTTGAAGACATGTGGCAGAACAGACATTCATGGTACTGAAGTTTCCCAACGAAATAGGATCATAACTGCCAGGCAAAATGTTTTCCTGAGGTTATGGATAAACAGGATGAAAAAGTCACAAATATGATTATATACCATAATTACAAATTTGAGATTTCATTTGTAGATGCATCCTGTTAAATAAATCAAAGTTATGGGAAAGAAGGGATTTTCGTTTCTTCTGTAAAACTTAAAATAATCAACCTCAGGTGAACACATTGATGCGGACCAAGTTGATATGTGGTTTAAACAGTGTAATGGCAATCTATGATTTCCTGGAAATTTCACAGTTCTCACACTATTATTAAGGTCATTGGTCAAATCATGTTTTTTCACAGTGATAGTGTCACTACTGTCCACTTATAAAATGTACAACTTGAGACTGCAATAACCGAGCCTTGGAGCACTTCTAAATCATCAATAAATGTGCCACCTATCAAGTGAGCACAACCATGATGCGCAGACTTTCTGAAGCACTTCGTGCTGCTATAATATGTCACCAATCTGCACACAAGCCTTTAGACATCGAGAAATGAACACTACAACGACAAGAGCTGTAAATCGCTCATAATGACCACAATGAATGATGCATCAACATACAATGTTTTGATGCCACGTAAATGCATTTGTCAGCTGTATCTTGCAGAGAACAACCAAAATTAAGCAGGTGCTGCAAAGCTGCACAAATGCATCAGATGAGTAATCATATGTACATGGATCAATGTGTAAAATTTTAAGGTGGTACAGCAGACACATTTGTAATACAGGGTAAGAGTGTTACATCTGTTTGTGCTCCCTTCTTGAGTGACTTTTCTGGCAGTTGGTGGTGACAATGTCAAACAAAACTCATTAATGAAGAAAGGCTTCAGAGGGGGCAAATGATAAATTCTGCATGGTAATTGAAGTAACTACTCACCCTAGGAAATGTTACTGTTCGCAAATGACCTAGGAAGTACTACAGCAAAACCCTTCAACCTCATAATGATTGCCCACTTGTTGCAAAAACATCAATAACTTCATGCAAAGGGTTTAAGCTAGGTGCTCAAAAAGCTTTTTCTGGTGACTTCTACTAATGTATCGAATGCATTTTGCGACACCCCCAAGGGCAGAAAAGAGCTACTACATATTTTCACTGACATTTACCACTCCAAGGCCGCACAGAATGAAGAAAGTGTGGTTATTCCGAGCAAGTTGAAAAAAAAAAAGGGACAGGGGGTGTGCACTTATGTGAAGGTCTCTGTGGCAACAGATGCCAAGGAACGGATATTTCTGCTGAAATGAATTCTATGATACAAAATACAGATGCGCCGAACCATCCAAGTTGATGCAATATTTGTGAGCATATTCCATGCACCCAATCATGTGCCCGAATAATTAACAGAGCCAGCCATGACTCACCTTCAGTGGCCTGACGACCGTGACCGTCTCAATCGTCGTCGGCGCCATTGTGGGAGCCTGACTCTCCTGCCGAGCATAAAAGACACAACAGAATAACGTTAATTTAAGCAATTGAAGCCTGCCTGCACAACAATATGACCACATGCACGTTGTTCATTCAGTAATCCTCAAGAAGGATACATAAAATTTGCTGGAGTGGAAGCCGCCTATGCGCCGCTACGGCCGAGAGTGAAGCCGCGCCGAGCGTGCATCAGCCATGTTGCCAGTGGCAGAAAAGAGCCGAGTCATAATGGCCGACCGCTTCAAATTTATGCTTCATCGCGCTGCGGGTGAAGTGACTCGTGTGTTTATTGAGCTACGAAAACAAGTAATTCTGGTTGTAAATGTTTATTGCGACTTGTACGCAGCCAAGTGGCATGTAGAGAACTCAATTAAAGTGCATATGCAATAAATAGCGATGCCTATAAGCAAACACATCATCGAAAACATAGGTGCCCTACTGGTGGTTGAAAATTATTGCCCTTGTCAAAAGTGGTCCCACCTTACTTTTGACCAATTTTCGTTTTTTTTCCTTCGTCATGTGTTGTATCCTCACTTTTAAGTATTGTTCGGCGATTTGCCTGCACAAACTGTAAACCTGATTATCAAGCGTATCAAAGTCTAGGACGTGTTGCTCTAGTTTATGGAACCAGTTTTTCTCCGAGGAAGCTCATAGAACTTTCAGGATGAGGTGTTTTGCTCATGACTTCACCGTTGTGATGGAATCACATTCAGCCTGTAGCCGCCTCAGACCTCGACTTCTTTACAGAGGCTAATGACATCTCGCGACGGTGAAACAAGACCACCTCGCCTCTTACATTTAATTAAAGGTGTCAAATCATCTGAGTGCATGGCTGCTATGCACTCTTCACAGGTAGTTGCAGTTCGACTTGTCGAACAATGAAGCCTGCTATGTATGGCACCACGGAACCGACAAAAACAGAAAAGCTTTCGGGCTAGTCAATGCGATGCGTATTATCGTGATCATCGGGCTGCAGGACTGGGGCCTTGCGCATGTCAGTGAGATTTCTTCTTGGATCTACCATGACTGCAGGAGTCGTTGCATTCAATACGAAGAGAACATCTTGGGAGCAGTGTCCAGAACTCGAAGACGTGACTTCCGTCTGAACCAATAGACGCTTGTGTGCAGCCATAAACTGCGAAGCTGTTGGGTTGTTGTTATGGCCGCATCATCCACGTATTGATTCAAAGAAGTTTTCCGCATAGTTTTGACTGAGTTTGTGTGTCAGTAAGTATTTCAGCTGACAAGTCTGTCAAACATTCTTTCCGTGCTTGCCATGCGTATCCAAAAACCAATGAATCCGGTTTTTTTTTTTTTTTCAGTCCTTCTTTCACTGCCGGATCTCTCAGCCCATTTATGTACCCTCGAGTCTCCGCAAAAAAACGACTTCCAGAATGCTTCGTTCCCCTGCCAAAGGGGCGCTTTGTACGACCTTGCCAGCGGGTTTCTGGAGTTTAAGATGTCAAACAAGCGATCAAAAGTTCTAATAAACGTAGATCCTGTGCTGGCATCCTTGAATTGCGGCAGCTTTAGCTTTCGTTCGCAGAAGTCCAAAGCGTCGGCAATTAAGGCACTCAGTTGTACAGCATATCATACCTTCATTTTCTTGCTTTTCCCATTGGACGTGGACTTTCGTAAGTTTGTTTCCGAGCCATAACCCTTCTTCACGTTGAAGTGCCTTCAATGCCACTTCATAACCCCATTTCACATGCTTCCTTTCAATGTCAAAGAGGTGGTCAAAGCACTCTGGCGCGAAGTGCACAGAGCGAAGTGATCTCAGTCTTTCGCATTCTACTTCTCACGGCGAACGGCCCACTCCCAAAGGCTCCGCGTTACGGGATCTTTAGGAAACCTGTAAAACAAATCCGGACTGTTATGTTTTGCATGCTTAGATCGCGTCAGCTATAGCTCCCTTTAATAACGAGCGCGGAATGGCTATGTCGAAGACGTTTTCGTGTACGTACAGGTGGAATGTGAGGCCACAACCTTTTTTCAAGCTGTTGGCACATCTATAAACGACGCAAGAGGCAAACATTGTAAACCATTTGTTTTTACATGCCGACAAGGTGAAACAAGAACGGACGAAATCAGCAGCTCGCGATGGCGCTGAGCACGCTTTTTGCCACTGGCAAGATGGCGGCGGCTGGCTTCACTCGCACAGCGCCCCTTCCACTCCAGCAAGTTTTATGTATCCTCCTTGGTAATCCTATGACAGCTATCATGTAAAGTTTTCTTTAAAATACAAAAATTGCCTTTCACTTCCTTTTATGCAAGTCTTGATTGCAAAGTGAACAGTTAATGATCAAGTGGAATCACATCAATTAGTTGTATTCTGTGATGATAAGTGGGAATCTAGCAAGCATTGAATATCTACATTCTGATTAAGCTTTCACACGTGAGTACTCTTGCTTATGAGCTTACCAAATACACGTTTTCTTGAAATGGCAATCTTATCTTGTCCTATATGCAATGACACAAGCTCATTATGTCATCTGGATTTGTTTGTTGCACTTTTAAGAATTTCAAGAAAAGTGTACCAAGAGGCCAATATAACACAAAACTTGACCGTAACAATAACATGCTCCTAATCTTGCAGCAAAACTATCACAGTAACATATTCACAGCAATCGATATAATCGAACCACCCGTGCAATCTTTGTCAATCTTAGGCAAGCAATTACGCTATAAATATCATATAGGAGAGTGTCTTTTTTTTTTTAAAATAAGTCACACTTTGTACTGAATGAAAGTTGAAATGTTTATTTGCAGAGATGGCAATTCTAACATGCATAAAACCATCTAGGCTCAATCTACTACAAGTTACATGCCACACATTAAAGCAAGTTAACCAGAAAGCAACAATGTGCTTCGCTAACTGACATGAAAGGGCTAGAGTGTGTCACACACGGTCCGGAACTGAGCATATTTTTTTTTTCCAAATAGAACCATCAAAGATCATTGTCAAAACCTGCACAGACTAACAGCAGAAAAGGAGACCACATTCAAAAGAACAACAGTGTACAAATACAGTAATCCTAATTACATGGTTATACATGCCATTAAATAGACACATGAAAGATAAAACAGATAACTATCATTAATGCACTTGCCTTATATTAGGCTGCATGAATGTAACACGAGCATTCTGGCTGTCACATCATCAATTGTGCCAGTAAGTGACGAAAGTGTGTGCCTAATTTCACGAATATCTTGACACAGGTGTCAGCAGCTAACACAAAACTACTATCTCACATTAGTGAAGAAAGGGCAACTTGCTGCGAAGTCCTGTAATGCTACAATTAAACAGCCAACTCAAACATACATTAGATGCATAGACGCCAAACACCTTCATGCTACGGCAGAATGGGTTGAACTGCCAAATTTCTGGTTGCATGTTGGAAAAGGTTCCCTCAAGTCGCCATACGGCTAGTACTATTCCCTCCAGTTCCATTGATTCATTTGTCGCACGTCATGTATCATATTTACACAATTGTTATCTGAAATTGGTCAGTGACACTTGTATCATTTCTAAAATTGAGCAGTTTTTATTGCTTCGAGCAACGCAGAGCTAAAGAATGAGAACGTAAAAAAAATCACTATACGTTACCATTACGTGTGCGCGACGGATTATGCAGGAATAGCTCTTGCTTTCACGGCACACACAGGAAATACGCGATAACTTGCCGACCGTCAATACGATCAACCGGGACACAAGAAATTTAGCCCTCTGAAAAAGGATTTCAAAACGAAAGACGGCTCTCTTGCAAGAGACCCCGCTGCTGTGTCAAGCAAGTACTGCACACAAGTGACGATTTACAGAAGTATTCTTCAGAACAAGGGGTTTGACGAAGGCAGGCTTCCCAGTTCTAACAAGACAAGTGTGGCTTCTGAGTCACACAAAACTGATTGAGCGGCGATCAGACTGTTGACCTCGTGAGCAATACGCCGCGATGGCATCTCCTCAATCTAGTTGCGCGGCTGATGGGACGGAACACGAACGCGCAGATAGAAAACGATTCTAGCACAGCCCATTACGTCATCAGCACTAACTTCGCATATGCTTGAGCCATTTTATTCACTGCTTTTTACGTTTGGCGCTGAGCGGAGCAGCACACCAACTACCACACGGTGCACTCGCATTATTCGAAAGCACGCGGGCGACTCCGCCCACAAAAACAAGCTGCACAAGTGCCGTTCCGTTTTGACAGCGCAACGCGTTTTATGATCGAATCGACTTGACAGCAGTTCGAGACACCGCCCAAGTGCCCCCTCGCATGTCACGGCAGTTGCTGCGAAGAGACGCGGGGATGCCCTTGTTAAAAGAAATAGGGGAAGAACACTGCCCGGGCCGACACAGATATATTTCGCTTTGCCCGGGGTTCCCCGACGTTACTCGTCTCGGACAATCGATACAGCGACGCTAGCTGGCTCGCTACGCAACCGTCGAGGTCGAACGATCCCGGTCCGCAGCGACGGAGCGCCCCGAAGTAGTGGCGAACGACCCGCCGGGGTCCTTCCGAATCGGGGCCCGTCCCGGGTGCCCCGAATAAAAGCCTCCCAGCCGCTAATTTTGGCAACGGCACTTCTGTCGCGGAACGCGGACTCGAAGGATAAGCCTAAGTAACGTAACGCGCGGCACTTCAGTCTCTGAATCGATTGCACGGCACACACAACTTGGCACCGCGAAATGCAGGTGCCTGTATCGCTATGCACGCGACCCCGGCGAGATGGCATCCCACGGGGCGCCCGTACCCACGACTGTCATAAGCCGCGGGCCGCAGTCACGATGCAGCCAGAGGCGTCGGGAGCCAGGCTTATCGCTGCCGCATTTTTACCTGGTGTAGCGGAGAAGCCAGGGCTTCCTAGGTGTTAGTCCAGCTTGATCGTTCAAAAAGTCCGTCGCGTCCACAGCGTGCCCCTGGAACGACGTCCAGAGCACGACGAGCGTGGTGGTGCTTCGTCGGTATCACTTCGTAGCTTCACTGGCGTCAATTGGGCCGAGGAACGAGGCCGACGAGACGCGAAGCTCGCATCTCCGACCACCGACACATCACGGAGCTCCGCAACCGACGGGATCGGCCGGACGGAACAATAAAGCGCATGCGCGAGGCACGGCCCATAGTTGCCGACACATGGCAGTTGATTCGCCTTTGTTCGGCCGTTTTTGGAGAAACACACACTCATGCAGAGCGCGCCGTTGCTTTGGCGCGATATTTAAAATTAGTGAATGGCCAACTGCGCTTCACGAACGTTGTGCAGAACAATTTGCCGTAACTATAAAGAACGTGCTGCAGAAATGTATTCAACCCAAAATTTTAGCATCACTGTCCACTCTCCTCACTGAAGGTAGGCACTTTTAACCGAACGTAAAATTGGCCATCCGGGTAGAGAGTGAGCTAGTTATCAAGACAGGAAATAATAATGTTGAACAGATGCCAAGTTACATCTTTATTATGCAGTGCCATTTAATGTAACATTATTAGCTTTTGTTGAGCGAAATAAATGTAATGTAGCTGTGGACAAAAGTCGCCTGATGACTGGCATAAAAATACCAGCGAGTGAAATGCCGCCTATATTAAAATAAGCGAGGTTTTGGTCGTTGCGTCGAATGTGTTATGAAAGCTTCGATTACAATTAGAACAAGAAGATTATTTCACCGAATTTACAACTGTCTTGAGACGTTATTCTTGGTTCGTGGCTCAAAAGTCTCTGTCCCTAGTCTACGAGTTTTGCCAGAGCCGGCCACTCTCTCATCCTTGTCGAATTTCTGTTTTGATTGCATTTGCGTTTGCCGAGCGTCATGTGCGCAGTCCAGGTGCCTTTCCAGGAAAGCCTCACAACTGCGTTGATATGTTCGTGCTTTGCCTGTGAGGGTGCGCTGTGGTGCAGTATACGGTCACTTCGACAGGAGGGGAGGACTATGTGCCTGCGTGGGCGTCGGAAAAGCCTCCCATAATACCCTGTAGAAGGCAGACGTTCGTCCCAATGCCAAAATGTTTCGTGCCCTTGGTTCAGGACCCCGGGTGAGGCTATGGGAGATGCATTACATACACCTCGCCGAATGAGCGTAGCTCATTAATCTCGAGCCTCTAAAGGATGTATGAGTTGAAACGGCCATCGTACGTTCTTTCCCCCGGGCAGACGTATCATGCAGGCACGGGTCCGTCCATAGCGTCCCAGAAAAACTTCAATCCTGTCAACCTTGCAGGTGGTTCGTGGGTTGAAGTCATCATGTACCAACACCAGGTCACTGACCCGTAAGTCTCTTGCTGTTGCCCGAGTGGCATGGCGGTGTGATGTCAAAGAACACAAGTACTCTGATTCCCAGAGCTTTGATAGTAAATCAGATAATTTTTGACGATACTTCCACCGACGCGCTAGTTCGCTGGCATTAAAACCAGTTGGTTGTCCTCCATGAGTAGGCAGGGAAGCCAAGCATCTTCTGAAGTTCCGATGAGGAAGTGGGCTGGTGTCAGCAGCTACACCTCGTCCTCGTCACAAGTAACTCAGGTTAACTGGCGTAAATTTATCACCACGTCGATGTCTGTCAGGATATTGCAGAGCTCCTCAAACGTTACGGAGTCGCAGCCAAGCATTTTGTTCAATGAGATATTTGTTGAGCGCACCACCCTTTCCCAAAAACCTCCCCACCAGGCTGCTCTTTCCACAACGAACTTTCACTCAATCCCCTGCTGAGACGAATAGTCAAGCGCTTCTTGACCACGCGCCACTTTCGTTTCATGGAAAGTGGCCATTTCGCATGTAAATGAGTCAAACTGACCATTCACACCTGTGAATGAACAACAAAGAGATCTACAGTTTTATGAAGTGTTTAGTGGTCATAACTGGTTTGTCCTGTTCAGTTATGAATTTTGTTTTACCTCATTATTAGGGTTTTGTCGTATCATATATCTAGCTGGAAGTTGTCAAAGACGAGAGAGAGAGAGTAGAATGTTTGATAGAGAAAGGCTGAGAGGTCGGTCTGAACCATGCTTTAGCCTGCTGCTCGACGTTAAGGGGAGAGGGTGGAAAAAAAGTAGAGAGAGAAGATGTTGATGATGGGAAGGAAAATAGCGATGAAGCAGGACCTTGGATCAATTATAGTCCCTCGCCGAGTTCTGTATCTCTTAAAAACTGCAACGTGCTAACGTGCAAAGACGAGGTCTGTGTACGTTCTCCTGGTGGTTTTAGTTGTTTTCAGTCATACGAACTATATCGTAGAGCATATCAAGACATCATGTACAGCACAAGCCAGTCGTTGTCCATGATCTTCATCGTTCTCAGCGTCATTATCATCGTCATCGCGTATAGTGGGTACCTTAGCGTCATCGTCATCGCGTATAGTGGGTACCTTAGCGTCATCGTCATCACGTATAGTGGGTACCTTAGCATTATTGTAACGTCATCGCGGCATAGCATGTGCTGTGCCACGATGACAGAGAATTCGGGGTCTGGAAAGCACTTGTTCGTCATCAGCGTCATCGTCATCAAGAGACGATGGCGTACGTGACTCGCCCTCAGGAGTTTCACCCCTAGAACACGTGCAGGTGCATAGCAAACGCTCAGCTTGACATGACGAACGAACACTAACGCACATTTCCACGAGTGACAACGTAGCCATTTACAAGCAAGAACGCATTGAACAACCCAACGCTACAGATGAGCCTCCTAGCGCATAAAAAAAGAAGAAATGGGGCGCATACTGTTGCCGCGGCGGGTCACGTTGCAGACCTACAGCAAAGTCCATTCTTTAGAACCAACCTGCAAGTGTTAAACTAACAATCCGGGTGCCACTTCCGCATTTAGCGCCCCGGGGCATTTCGGTGCGAAATTATAATCTTCAAGGAATGGCATGCGGAACTGTGCAATATCAATGTCCCAAATAGCAAAAAAAAAACCCGGCTAGCTGTTGCCTGTATGTATAGATGGCTTGCATGTGATGTCATGCATGCAGCTTCTGATAGGAGCTGGAGATCCGTGATAGCGGCCTTGATGAGAAACAAGTTGCGTCTGTGTGAAAAGCGCACGGCAGGAATGTCTCGGAGCGTTAAGAACGAAAGAACAGCTGCGTGCGATGTTTTGATAAGATTGATGTCACATCTGAAATGTCACATCCCCATACACTTGAGCTCCAGCATGGCGTTTTCAGTGACGTCAGTGCACGTCATCTATAAGCTACGCCTCAACATCCCAACCAGTTCTTTCCGCTTCCGCCATGGAGACGTTGTTCTCTAACGCGCACCTAAATCTAAGTACTCAGTCCTCCATTATTTGACCTCCGTCCAAATGTGGACTCTGCCACCAAAATTTGGTCCCGCAACCTTTGACACAGCAGTCGGGCATCATAAGCATTAGAAAACCACGTCCTTTCCGTGGTTTAAAACACCTTCTGTGCTGCTATGAGGCCCATGTATATGGGTGCAAGTAAAAAATTCTTGTTCACTGTTCCTGTGTTACAAGGTTACCTCTTGGTCCAGCGCCACTACGAAGTGTTGTTTTTTTAATCCTTTGATCAGTGCGAAGTGACCAGTGACAGACCTCAGACAATTCTGGTATGCTAATATTCGCAGAATCGCTTCTGTAGGATTTCTAATGTATTTGTTCCGTAAAACTCAATGCAGAAATAATGCACACAAGTTATTTGTACACTGAATATTCGTAGGGATGTTTACACACACACGCACATTATGTTTTTAATTCTCAAAGCAAACATTATTAATTCGTTCATAATGTAAGCCACGGAGGCTCATACAGACGTGCGAATTCCAACAGCATACTCCCGAAGCGTCTATACAAGGAATACGCATGAAAACAAGAAGTCGGGGCACCATTGTGTACATTAGACACGCTATGTTAGTAAGGAAATACAAGAAACAGAGTCAAGTTGTACCATCAAAATAAAACGTCCCCCTGCCTCGATGACTGCTGACCAGAAGGTCACGAGTTCGATCCCGACCGAAGCAGACGCCTTTCCATGGAGGCGAAATGCCAGGGTCCCGTGTACTGTGCGATGTCACTATATACTGCTCAAAGAACACCATATGGTCGAAATTTCCGGAGCACTGTTCCACGACCTGCCTCGTAATCAAAACTGCCGTCTTGGAAGGTCCAACCACAGAGATTAGCTTTATTGAAGGAGCGCTGAAATACTTTTTTCAAGTAACCATGGAATGAATTCACTGGAAGAGCTTATTGCCTCACGAATTCAACACCGCAAACATTTTAAGAATTCCTCCAGTGCGACTGTAGTTACAAAGGTTGGTCGCATGCTGCAATTGCATATTTTTAGGGGCGAAACTCCTTATAGCGGCACGCGTTCGTCCCTTGTAGTATGTAACAGGTACAACATTTTGACCTCCAAGGTGGTGCCGGTGAGAGACTTCTTCTGTGCGTTGTTGAACAATAAAAAATAGTGCTCAATGTACATGTCAATGCCTGCTAATGGGTAATGAGAGGCAGGAGCATTCGGCTTTTAGTTAAAGCGCAGGCTGCGATCACCATTAGCAGCCATTGGCATGTACATTGAGCACTATCTGACAAGAAAGGGTTACTACGTTATACTCGCTGGGTGTAACCTCCTTAGCTTTAGAAAGGTTTAGCGAGCGTTGAGCCGCAGTGCCATGAATACAATGAACTTGTATATACCATGAATGAACTCGAGGTGGTTAAAAATGGGAAGTAGATACGAAGCGGAAGCCGTAAGAAAGTAAAAGCCGAATTCTCCGCCTCTCATTTCCCATTAGCAGCCATGGGCATGTACATTGAGCACTATCTGACTGAAAAAGTTTGCTACGTCATACTCGCTGGGCGTAACCTCCTTGGTTTTCGAAAGGTTTAGCGAGCGTTCGGCCGCCGTGGCATGAATGCAGTTAACTAGTATATACCATGAACTCGAGGTGGTTAAAGGTGGGAAGGGGACCCGAAGCGCAAGCCGTAAGAAAGTGTGCGTGTGCCACCTCTCGTTTAGTCCTTGGAATGTCCGCTGGATGGCGGTGCTTCTATATGGGGAATATATGATGAAAAGATGCGAGATGGTGGTACTTGGAGTGTTGAATAGATGGACGAACGGACACA